TTGTTGTTATTGTACTTCTCATATTTATAATCCTCTCAATTTTTTGTTTTTATTTGTTTATAGTTTCATAAGTATGGACATCATTTAAGCTGTGTTATAACTGTTGATTTAGTATTTCCCCTCACCATACTATATTAACAGAACATTAGATTCAATAATCTATAACATGCTAAAATTTTCAAACTCAATCAACAATACTGTTTGAAACAAACTCACTGTTATTACTATTATTATTATTACATTTAATATTCTCAATTCATGCTTCGAATATTTTGACTTTATATCGTTAACGTGGACAAATTCCTCTGATTAATTTTATTTATATTTCATTAATTTTGTTTATATTTTGAGTAAATCAGATGCAATAATGTGACAAATACTGAGAATTCCATTTTGTATCATAAGTACTGTTTTTGGAATAAAGCAGATTATCACTATTAGTATTATTAACATGTCAGGCAACGAACCGACAAAGAACCTATCCCTCAACAAATATGCCGTAGGAAATGGTGATGGATCGGACATACGCTAAGGGAGACTGTTGAGTGACATCACACGCCAGGACACCACTCCAATGGAATCTGAATGGAGAATGATGAGTTTGGCCTGGATATGAGGGTGACATGGAAATGATCGTGTAAGAGAAGATAAGAGATTACGGTCAATCATTGAGCTAGCATAGGTTGACTGCAGAGAACAGGGGGAAATGAAGATGTGTTGTTGAAGTCCTGTGTTCCACTCGGAACCCAAGGCAGCAATCATAATAATAATGTTAAAGAGTCGGAAGGCAAGTAGAAACAGCTGCTTAGAGTTCACTAGTTTTCCGTGGATTTCAAACTCATGTTACATTGTTACGTGACCTGCCCTGAAAATATAACAGTTTCCTAGAAGCTGTTCAATAATTTATACAAGAGTTGGTTTTCAGGATATCATCATGAACTGACATCCGTTAGAGAACCGTTGGAAAACCTCGGAGTACTGAACAGTTGTTTCTTCCTAGTTTGGGACTCTTCATCAGTACACACTAGGATTTACGGATAGACAATCTGAAGATTCCTAGGGCAAATAAAGGAACTTGTGATGCATTATTAGCAGCATTATACCATAAACCATTACAATTCTCATAATACGTCCCTACTTATGCTAGTTATCCTAATTCATAGTCATAGGTGAAAATACCACTGGACAAATTACCATGTGATACATAGCAATATAAACAAAGTGCTTCTTACTGTGCAATCAATACATCATAAAATACGTCATGAATGAAAGGCAAATGCCGATAAATTCGAAATGGTAAATTATGTAACTAACTATGATATGTGTTCCTTCTGATTATATAATCATGTGAAGGAGAATAAATTCCATCTTGTTTAATATTATATATACCCAGTGGACTTACATCGACAAAAATCCATAACAGACTGATTGTTCGCCGTATTCGTATTCATATTATTTCACAAACAAATGTTACGTATAGTCGGAAAAATGAAACACGAAAATGTTAATAAAACAATAAGCATGAAAAATCAGTTTCAATTATTTTTGTTGAACACACTTTCTTCTCATTTATTGAACAGGTTATTACTATTCTTGTTTATTTATTTATTTACCTGTTCAATGTTCAATGTTACATTTCTGGTTGTTTAAATTGTTCAATTTAACTATGAATGTGTAGATTGCGAAATATAGTTTTATGCTGTTGTTAATCAACAGTATGCAAAAATGATATATAAGCTGATCATCAATTCAGAACTTCACATTAGAAACTAAGATATAAAAAAAATCTATGAATAATGTCTTATAAAAATATGAAAGTCTACGTTCCTTAACACTTGATCCCTCAGTATGTAGTAAGACCTTGAAGAATTGAAGCCTTACAATACAAACCGTAGCAGTTAGATGATTTTCAAACATCAGTGAGTGCCACCCACCCATGCACATCCATCCATTCGATAATATTTACAATAAATCAGACAACAGTAAAATTATATGTTTAACTGCTCCTGTGGAGCCAGTTACATAGGCCGTACAATTAGGCGTGTTTCATGTCGAATTTCCGAACTTTACCCTGCCTGGTTAAGCAAAGGACAAAGAAAATCTACTCGTAGCGCTATTCTATCGCATCTTGTAGATACAGAACACAAGATCGATGTCACACAAGGCTTTCAAAGTCATTTATCGCACACCAATAAATCTTAACTTCGCCTTAACAGTTCGTTTACTAAATATTGCGGAGGCCGATGGGACCCACATTAAGAACTTTTATTTATGTGTCAAAAAGAAGCTAGTTCAGACATTGTCCTCACCTTGGCCATCTAGGTTCGAATGATGCTGATTTTTTGTAGAAATTTCCTTAATTTTACTTGATATTCTATTTACTATTATAATTTTCTATAGTTTGGTTTGTAAGGATTAGTTATGTTTTACGAGTTGATCACGGACTGATATCAGTTAGAGAACCATTGAAAACCAGCAAGGAGTACTGGACAGCTGCCGTTTCATCCTAGTTTGGGAATCATCAGGAGTACGCACCCACTGGGATTCGAACCCAGGACCTTCCGGTTACAAGGCAAGCTCGTATATCATTCAGCCACTGGGACCCAATTCAATGGCTCATGAATTCTAACTTCTACCAATTCGTGATTTTAGCGCGACCCCAACTATTGTCGTTGGTGGGACATCCATCCACACACGTGACTTCTAACTGCACCTCACTGGTCACGACTTCTCACTAGAACTCCAGGAAGCTCCAACCTGTAGCAAGTCACTAGGCATCTTTAATGAACTTTAATTCCTTTGATCTTACTTTACAAATAGATATTATTTAAAAAACACTAATATTGTTATTAATTACTAATTTAGAATATTCTGTGTATGTAAACATATACATAATTGTAGAGCCGGAAGAGGAATTTATCGAAAAGAATATTCTTTGCTCGATTATTTTGTGTTTTATGAAAATATATTTGTTTTTAATTCAATATTAAATTTCCCATTGATTGACTGAACCTGAAATATTTGGTCTCTGTTGATACGTGTTGGTTCCTGATAAGGATGTTTCAACGATATGTGAGGATCAACTTGAAGTAATTTGATGGATGGTGATTAGCAATGAGAACTTAGGTGAGTATTTCACCCTACTTACTAGAACTTGTCAAGTGAATGTCAGCAGAGGCCGAACATTTAGGTCGAATGAATCAAGGGGAAGTCAAAAAAAAGCTGAATTATTATAATAATTGTAATAATAACTGACGTCCGCTGTACAAGAGGTGGCTCTTGTGGCTCAAATAGTCTGGTGAAGCACGCTTTGGCATTTGAAACGATGGCTACTAGGTTTGAGTCTCAGTAGGAATACTGTCACTCACTGGGGAATGTAGGTTCGTCCAGATGACGAGTCCCGAGTGGGACGAAATGAGTATCGTGGATTCCACTAGTCATCAGTCATCATCGACCGAATTCCTTCAGAATATTTAAATATATATTTACTAAGAGAAAACAATTTCAAACTGCATATCAACCTGATAGGAACTAAACCTATAAGACACAGAATAAGCAGTTTGTGGTAGTGACATTATAGTTTGCTTACATGGTGTATTCATTCTCAGAACAATAATATCATGTCACTGTTCTACTCATAAACATCAACATCGTCAAAAAATTTAGAATCAGTTATTTATCATAGTCATTATTCATGTGTGTTCGTGTTCCGCGAAGGAATATAGAGGTTCAGCGACACATTTCCAATCCACTGATTTCCCTACCATCTCATTTTTATTTCCTTATCAAATGATATCCTTCACATAACACTTTGACACTCACTAAGTTGTTTCTCATTCTGGTCGACGCCGTATGGTCTCCTCAGAGTATGCCCAATCCATCTCCATTTCCTTCTGTCTAGTTGTATGACAGTAGGTTGTTGACTAGTTAACGGACAGAATTCCTTGGGTTTGAATCTTTTCTGACAGACCAACCAACAAAGTTCAGTATCGAGTGGTGGTTGGGCATTAGTTGATGAATATTTTTGCAGTAGACTGCTGGAAAAGCTTTTGGTGACGAGCAGTTTTTCTAAGGATGATTGTATAATATTTAATGGAAAAAAAAGTTATTCTCACAATTAACCGTTTCATAGCAATAAATGTTACTTAGCATTTTAAATATGCATTTTGGGTTGTCATGGTGACCTGTAGACTCTTGAAATTGTCAATCATTCCTCTGAAGCATTAGAATATCTGATGTAGAATGTAACATTGTATATTCTAGTCAAATAATATCAATACGATGAGATATGACATGTTCACTTTCTTAAATGTGTACTTGTCCACTGTGATATAGTCTTAAGATCTTTTTACATTTAAACTAATTATATCAACTGTCGATAGTAATTGGTCGGAGGTAGTCTGCAGGAAGCCTTGTTTGACCTTTGTTTTCATACTTGCTGGCACTCGACAACAAGGCATGTCTGAAATCTTGAAGAAACTCCTATTACTTCTCAGTCGTAAAGGAGGTCAGTCGCGGGTAAAAATAGCTCAGTGGTAACATCTTTCACTAGAACACTGGGTAACTCTGGTGGGTGCGTACTGATGAAGAGTCACAAACTAGGACGAAACAGCTGTCCAGTACTTCCAGGTTTTCCACTGGTTCTCTAACTAATGTCAGCTCATGATGAAAATCCTGTAACTCCGGTTTGAATCTTACAAGGGATATGAGTCCCCCCTTATGACTGCAGATACACCTTGTCAACGAATATCAGCCAACAAACAAAGCTTCCTATCGAGATTGTCTTGAACCATCTAATAACACATTAGTTTACAGTGGACAGTGTGATATAAAGCCACCTAACATGATGACCACATTGAGAACTTGACTGAGAGAAAATTCAATCTTCAACAACAACAAAAAAAAAAAAGATTGGACACATGACACTAGTTACACCAACTAGTGTTTAATCAAAGTAATTAATGAAGTGATAAAAAACAAAAAGGATGTTTGGGACATACCGTCATCACCATCATTACTATCCAACGGGGAATTTGACCAGTCTACAGCAGACGCACAAACTAACCAATTCATTGAATAGATTAAGTAAATAAAAGATATCGCTGGTAGTAGATACATTATTGTTTTATAAAATTTTAAAATTTTGCTAATGTCTTTTTGAAATTACTCAACGGAAATTTTAATTTCTAGTATGTATTACTAACAAGTAATTGCATTTTATGCCTAAATAACACTAATTGATATTTATATGAAACGATGAACCGAATATTCTTTACTGGCCATATATATATATACATGATAGACTGTATGTTCTAACATGTGTGAGTGAATAAAATAATTGTCAAATTGTCATCCGATAGTGTCGCATTCTTTCTGTCCAATTCAGAGTTGACATGAAAATGTACTACTGCCTACTTCCTTTATACACAAAGGTGACAACAACATCAACCTGTTTAGCATTTCTTCTGTGACGGAATAACATAACGGAATAATATTTGACAGCCTACATAGAGTTATCGAGAGCGAGAAGGGAAATTTATAATGTGTTTACAGGTGAAATCCTACTCACTCTCTGTATCATAATCAAGATAAGAATTTAATGCAGTGAAACCTACTCATATTATTCTGTTGTTTCCAGTGTGAACTGATCGCATTATTATTATTGTTGTTGTTTTCATTTTTTACTCTTATCCATAGGAAATGTAGGAGTGGTACTATTCCATTCAACACAGATAGATAGACATTTTGAGATTACATACTTGGCGGCATCATTTAGCATTGATTAAAACAAAACAAATATTTTATGATTATTGCATAAACATGTAAATAAAAAAGACAATAAAGTTTGTAATATGTTCACTACATTTTTATATCATTAACAGATTTTTCTGCTTTTCATCAAGTAATCAAAATACATGTCAATGAATTATTTGTTGAAAACAATGAGAAATTGAACACATTGAATTGTATATCAATACTTTACATGATATTTATAAACTAATAACATGTAGGCTAATAATAATAATAATTTAGTAGACGATGAAATGATCACATAATGTTTGAGTTTTAATGGTCGTACACTTTTCATGTCCTTTCATAGATACAGTCTATTTGAAATCAGACAGATGAACATGATTCTACTTGAAAGAATAACTGATTTGAACTGCGATATTAACAGTGTCATTATTCCATTAATTTCCTAGTGGAATGTAAGGCTTCAACAAGACATCTTCATTTCATCCTGTTCTCTGTAGTCTCCTTCAGGACTGCCGACAGATTTTCATCTCTTCCGTATCACCATCACATCCGAGACAAACTCTTTATTTCCCACTCGCATTCCACCGAAGGGTTTACGTGGCACATGGTGTTATTCAGTAGCCTTCTCAGTGTGTGCCTAAGCCACCTTCATTCTCCTCAGAAAATTTTTTTGAGCATAGAGTCCTGGTTGGTTTATTGCCAGAATCTTTGCTGTTTATTCCTTCTGACTGGACAGCGGATCTTCATTGTGGAGAAAGCGAAGACAGCTATTGATAAAAGTATGCAGTAGCCAGTTGAAAATGCTTTTCATGACGCGCCGCTACGTTTTTGAACCATCTTGAATTACTGAATGATTTGACATTGGTGTGTTGAAAATCCGAACCTTATTCTTCACTCTTAGCGCAGTAAATCTCCAAATTGATATCCACTTGATAATGAATGTCAGTCTTGCCTTTTCTATAGTAAGTGGCTTCGGCATCTTCATCTGTGTCGTCTGTAGTTGAAACAATGCTACTTGGATAGGTGGAAGTGTTGACCTTCTCTAAATTTCTTGGCCATTTTTGTTAGTTAGATAATTTCACCTCATGTGTCTTTTACATGTTCACTTGACCAACTGTCTTCTCTGCCTGCCTCTTCCACCAGCTTATCGGTTATCGCTTGTAGATCTTCGACTTTATTTGAAATGAAACATAAATCGTCCGTGAAGTCCGAATCTTCTAAAGTCTTCTTATCGGTTCAACTTATTCCTGTCTTCTCAATTCCCACGGGATGATGCATGGTCCAGTCCATGACCACACTAAGGAAAAGCATCGGTGACACTAGGCAGCCTTGTTTTTCTCCTGTCTTCTTCTGAAATGCGTCTTTGAGTTTTCCGATGTGATACCATCACATGGCTACTAAATCATGTTGATAAAAGCTTGGTACACTCCACAGTGTTGTAGTATTTTCCAAATTACTTTACATTTGATGCTATCCTAGGCAATTTCCAAAGTTGATGAAGTTGTGGTAGAGATTTGACTACCATTCTATTCTCTGTTCCATGATGATGACGATGTGCAGGGTTGTAATTTGATTCTTACACGGTTTGCTTCTACTGAACTCACTTTGTTTGGTGCGGAGTTCTGCAATGAAATTCAGAAGTTTGGAGAGCAAAATACTACCTGCCTCAAGGCAAATGAACATATGACCATGAGAAAACTAAACCATAAAAAACGTCAGTGAATATTAAATCAAGGCTAGCGGACGACATTATTCACCACATAGAGGAAGCTCACAGATAATGGGACATTTTCCCTATATATATGTATATATATATAAGTAACAGTTAAAATAAAACATTTCTGCCTAAAATGGCAGAAATGACAATCCAATGGAGAGATCACATATAATTGGCTTCTAAACACCACCGTTTTACAGTAATTGGTGTTAAACTACTCATATCAAACTTCAGTAGTATACTGTATCGCGATAAATAAAGATAGTTTCAGAAGGGATCATTACTCAAATCATCTACACCGTCAAGATTTAACGACCACTAACACAAGTTATGCGGCATTTTACAGGGTTTGAAAAGTGTGCAAAATACTGCTGAATAAATTTCAAACAGGAATTCACTGAACAAATGATTTTTATTTTTTAACACGACTGAATTGTTCCAATTTATGAAATTAAATTAATTAGTTTGATTACAGCAATAAGTATTTTTGATCTTTTGATTTTTGATTATAACTTGATTCCACATCATATTTTTGGTACAAGTATGGAATTCTCAGCACGTGATATTGGTAGCCTAATTTTGCAGATAGACCACTGATATCAGGTTAGTGTTGGCAGTGGACCGAATCCTGACCATGTGGATGGTCGGCGACAGTGTAACCACTGTGCTCTTATCCAAACCGCGTTTTGATACAACTGGGAATTCCCAAATATGTAATAATCAGACGAACTTGCTAGCTGAGTAAATTTCACTAAACCAAATAACAAAGTAATAGTACATCTGCTATGCTATCAAAACAAAGTGTACTAACTTGATCATCGTTCCTCAGTATGGGGGCATTTTTCGTTGTCAAGTTGGCCAATTGGTAAAGATAACAAAACCAAACGTAGACTGCTGGATTTGATAAGTGTGTAAAATTATAAAACAGCGTGTGTTTTTGTATAATGATATTGCTTATCACATTTGCGTTGATTTAGTCACTTCATGGGGGAGGGGTGTGTTGTAACCAGATCAAATTCTTATTTAGTCCATCATTCCTAATCAGACAATTTGGATTCCACTTGTTATGAAGTGCTTCTGATATTAGACGTTCTTTGTGATTTCTGAAACTTTTCTGGACCATTTCAATATTGTCAAAATCAATTTTGTGGCCTGAATTTATGACGTGTAGACCTATGGCTGATGATTTTTCAAGCTTTTCTAGTACAACTTGATTTCTCGGTGGTCGAACAGATGTTCTACGGTGCTCATTTCTTCTGATTTTAATTTCTCGGGATGTCTGTCTGATGTATATCGCATCACATTCCCAGCATGCATTTTATTTTATAGACACAATTAGGTAGAGAATCTTTAGGGATTTCGTCTTTTGTATGGACAAGGTTGTTTTGCAGTGTGTCTGATGTTTTGAAGAAAACTCTAATGTCGACCTGATTGAGTACTCTTCCGATATCGTCTGACGTCTCTGCTCTATATGGAATGACAACTGTTGATGTCCATGTTTTCGGAATGCGTTTTCGGCCATACTTAATTTCTGTGTTGATTTTGTTGATGAAGTTCGTTGGGTAGTTGTTTTGCTTGAGAGTTTCAGTAATGTTTGATATTTCTTCTTCTTTTTCTGTCTCATCCGTTATCAGGGAGTGTGGTCGTCTAAGAAGACATGAAACGACTGAAATCTTTGCGCCGATGGCGTGTGATGATTTGGAGTCTAAATATTTATTGGAGTGGGTTTTCTTCTTAAATATGGACATACTAAAATGTCTTTTCCTAGTTAACTAGGCAGTCAAGAAATGGTACTTCACCGACGTCTGATTCTGCTTCCGAAGTGAACTGGATTCTGGGAGATACACAGTTTATTTTCTCCAGGAATGAAATGTGTAGATCTCGTTTAAGTACTATAAAAGTATCATCTACATTTCTTAACCATATTTTAGGAGTGAGAAAGGGAAACGGACACCTCAAAAAATGGATCAGATCTGTGAATGGATCAAGAAATGCCATGGTTTGCAGTTATGTCGATGAGTTTATGTACAGGACTTGATCTAACATAAGTATCAAGACTCCTACGAGAAACTGGAAGGTTTTCTTGGAATATATAAGAGAACGTTATCCTTTTTAACTATTTTTTAACATTGCATTACTTTTGTATAAACAATCCGTAAAAATTTGGCGCCGTTTTTATAGAGCCTTCTGATTGGTCAAAGTTGTCGTTGTCAGGGTCGTTTGTCCGTTCGCTAGGTAGTTTCGGTTTGGGCGGCTATAATTCAGAGTTACCATCAGAATATACAAAAACTCAAAATTAAATCTGTAAATTTCAGTAGCGAACTAATTCACGAAAACGTATAACCAGTCGACGCGAGAACTCATTATGACCTTGAATCTGGATTTACCGCCTTTCAGACGATGTGAATACACATTTCATAAGCGAAACTTTTCGCTTATGAGTGAACAAATTTATTGTTAGGGTGGTAACAAGTTAAACATAACTTAATAAATCAGAAGACTGGAAAATCAAAAATTGGTGCGAATGAAGTCAAACGATGTAACACAGTGATTATAATCAAAAGGATTGGAAATTAAGTCTAAAACGAAAGTCAAGCAA